AACACATATTATACAAACTCTTAACATCCCTTTCACTTGGAAGCATGGCTCAACACATGGTGGTTTTGCTCCAAGTTTTGCCAGGCAGACTCTTTCCACAGGCCCTGATGCAGCCGCTGTAGGACACCTGATATAAAGCTTCTGTCAAATTGATTTCACTGTCCATGGGCCATGAGAACGAAGATTATCAAGATGGTTTCCAAACATCTGCATTGGAAATACAAATGATTGGTCGTACACTTGGTCGTACTTCTTTTGATGTTCTTTGATGCTTCCTTTTTTGTTTGATGTTGTGATGTTGTCTGCACTTCTTTACACATGTCTTGTAGCTCTTGTCCATTGGTCTCAGAGGTTGCCCAACTAGCACAACTCGGGACACACAGTTGGTGACAGGCACCATGGTTCAAAAAAGCTTTGTGTCCAACTGCTGAACGTCCTCTGACCAAGTTGTCTGCCCAGCTTGCTTGCAAGTGTGTTCTGAAGTAGCACCATGTCCACTCTCAATCGCTTGGCTGGTTCATTGCCGAATCTCTCCGGGCTGCCTCCTGCCCCGTTGTGCGATGTGGATCAATGATTCATATATATATATATTCATACAATAGAGTGAGTGCGTGCATGCAATTGATAAATTGGCGTGTGTGTGTGTAAAAAGATATGATTCATTAGTTGCGCTATCTGCATGCGAGCACACATGTTTGCAGAACGACAACATGTCTAGATTCACTCTACCGATACTACATCTACACTGATCTACACAAACAGTGCGTGTCTGGGCACTATGTAAGTATGAAGGTTCATAAAATGGTCCCACTAGCATCTGTAATTGTTGAGACACTGTCATTGGCAGCCTGGACGTTGCAAAGCACGAAAACCTCACAGAGTAAATACATGCGTGACCCCAAAAGGACTCCTGACACACCAAGAAGCCATAGGTTTTTCCACATCCCAGTCTTCAGACCCCTCAGCTCCAGGCAATGTCGGGATGCAAGTGTGAGAGTTCCGCCTCGAAATCACCCGTGGAAGTTGCTGCCAATCAACCAACGACACCAAAACCAAAAAGGTGGTTCGAAGCGACATGGTTGGCAGTGACCGGGGGGGCCCTGGAGAGCATTGAAAACAGGAGGAGACAGGAGATTGTTTCATGCCTTCTTTTGGTTTGGCTGCGTCTCAGTCAATTGAACGGCCGCAAAACGACTCAGCAGCTTGTTTTGTCAAGTTTCATTGAGTCTTACAACAAAGACCCAATTGCACTTGTTGGGTCGAAGGTCTGTGCCACTTAGAAACAGAAGCAACAGGATCTGTGCCAGGGCCACATGGAGAATTGGGTCGTGACCAATGATTCCCTCATCGGAGGTGGAGTCTCGCTGTACAAACCCGGAATCGAAGTAGTAGAGCTTGCTACTTTGATAGTACTTGGAAGCATGATCCACCAGTATCAAGCAAGTGCCTATAGGGCCTACCACCACTAAATTTGTTGGTAGAAAAAAACATGCACACTCACATAGATATAGCGAACCACACGTCGGTGCGATGTGGTCTATCTCCTTTCGCTCATTCGTACGTCGCCGTGCGTCGGGGCCTCTGACAGAAGGCTCAGTGCCTCTTCCCACGCATCGGCCTGGGCCAGACCGACGTCGGTGTCCCGTGGATGTCCGGCCCCTGGAAGTGGACTGTTCTCCTCCATAAAGAGGGGGTAAGCTCCAAGGTCTCCAAGGAAATCATGCTTGTTGCCGGAGGTTTGTTCGGGAGGTTTGAAACACATTAAAAAATTCAATGCAGCGGCCACAGACTGCTTTCTTACGGCAAAGTGGAGGGTAGTGGAGGGTAGCAAAATCATATAATAACTCATCAATCTCATTGATCTCTATTTCAACAAAGACAGTGGCGCCTCCAGGACGCTTCACCGTCTGAGAATCATATTGCTGTGAACGACGACTTAGACCCACTTTTCACCAAACAAATTAAATCAATCTCAGGACTTGGAAAATGCTGTTTCCGGCTCTTGACGCAAATTTGGCAAAGCAAACATATTTGGTGAAATTGTGGTTTAGTAGATAGGTATCTATATAGATATCTACTGTATCTATCGAAAGTGGTTTACCAAATTTGACATCCAAATGTGAGTAGAGAATGGATATTTAGCAGATAGGTATTTATAGATCAGCGCACGAGGCTCATTGGAAAGGTGCCCGCTTGCGCGTTGGTCATCCCAAAAGTCATCCGTGAGGGCCACATCGAATTGCCCCGGCCACGTAAGGCCTTCTCGCTGGCACTGATGGCCTTGGGAAGACAGCTGGCTCAGCTGGAACAACTCGGGTCAAGGGCGCTGACCGTTGACTTTGTTTCTACAACGAGAAGAATGTGAAGTGATTTTGCTGCCAGTGTTTTCATAATTTGCAGTAAATCTTAACTGACCGTTGACAATTTCTGGAAAAATCACTGCAGGGGCCAAAAACATGCCAAGAGGACTCCCGCAAAAAGACATAAACAATGTCTCAAGAAACATGTATGGCAATGGTTGTGGTAGCATCTCTATTCCTGGGTGTCAGATTGAATGACCTTGAAATAATGCACAAAGACAACCGCTTAGCACCCTTGACGGGAAACAAAAGGGGTCCGTGAAATTGTGTTCGCAATCAACACTTATCGCAACAACAGTTTGACATGCTGGTACGAGTAGCACAGCAAGTGCACCGATGGCTGTGCCAGCACTGCATTTCCAACTTTGTAGGTGAAAAGCTCTATCTCAACTCTTATCATCATAATGAAGAGACATTGCAGTCATTTGGCCTCAGACCCTGCAACAGCCTAAAGACCAGGGATCTTCGATATTCATGGCGCTGTGCATTGCACCATTGACTCCAGGGGACCGAGTTCATGATGATCAAATCCTCGCGGCGAGCCGAGTCCGGCAGCCGAGTCCGGTCGCGTCGAAGATGACAGGTCGTGGGATGACCAGGTGTGGGAAGTTTAATCAATGTCTGGATTCTGGTCAAGCATTGGAAGAAGTGCTCTGTTTCCAGAGACAGTGATGCCGCTAAGTTCCTCCCCGAAACAAAGAACGTGTGTGACCTCACTGGCCTTTTCAGCCTGGCTGTGGATGAAATCGAAACGGTACCACCCAAACCAGCATGGTGAGGTCCACGTTCCACGGATCAAAAACATGGACAACGAGAGAAATCGACCACCCATGACGCTGTGGCCGCTGTAGAGCACTACCGGCCCGTCCCCCCAGTCTCCGGCTGCAAAGCACTAAGCTTCATGTTCTCTAAGAACCTGAAGCTCAGGGCAGCGGGTGCTGAGCGCAAACGACGAGACACGGGAGTTCCAGGCGTACCGAGAAGGGCCGGGACAGTGACGTTGAGAAGCCCTAAATCGAACCGAAAAAAACATAATGTCTTGAGGAGTAAATTGATGTAAATGGAATCAAACCAATCAAATTCAAACCATGAATGTTCACATTAACATCTATACCCGGCTCCCAGCCCAAGAACAAGTGAAAGCACATATAATCACAGAACGGGCAAACCTTTGCATCGTTCCATCACATGTTCCAAAAACACGTTCCTTCTGTGCACATCACACGTTCCATGGCTCTTCAAGTAACCGTTCTTGGGGATCACCGTTTGTTCCCCGAACCGGCCAAGTAAAACATAGTAAACCAAACACAACCGGCCAAGCAGTTCCGATCTGAGACAACGGTTTACCAACATGACGTACTCCAGGAGTTGCAAATGGTGCATCATCTCATTTACCCACATCCGCCACATCTCATTGAGACAATGTATATCAATGGTACTTCCAGTCCCAACCCCTGTTTCCAGTCACCTTGAGTCATCTCATACCATCCAAACCGCCGACCGTCGCCCAGCTCCCGAGCCTGAGCGCCAAGGGCAGGTCCTGGTTACGGTCGCAGGCGCCCACGGCCGCCTGAGGCACACGGAGTGAGAGAGGGATCGATCGAGACGTGGATGTCCCAGCCGCTTTGAGTGAGTGGACTGACTTGAAACGATTAATCCAGCATCGAGTGAGGACGCCACACACAGCTGGGGTGGAGGGATTTTATGCTGGCCTTTGCATTTTTAGATCTTCAAGAGAAGAGAATCATTGTTGGGGCATGGCTAAACTTGCAGTTGCAACCCAGAGTTCCACAGCTTTGTCGAAGTCTGGCCAAGTGGAAGTCGGATGAAGTCGGTTCATCCATGTGCTTTGCACAACACTCATTTGGTGATCTTCAAGGCACAAGTGATGCATCCAGCATCCATGTGATCTACCCATCAAGCTCTTCAAGGCCAGTCGGCCAGTCGTTTCCTTGGCATCCCTGGCCCCGTAGACGACGTTGTCGGCCATGATGGCGTCCTCCTGCATCTCCGACCTTGCAAAGCTTTATGCGACCGCAGAAGCTGGTCTTCGACACGTGAACTAACCGTGTGGGTCTCAGGAAACGTTCGAACAAAAAACCATGTGAAGGGATCAATTTGGCACGTTTTGGTGCAAAAGACATCAACCGTTGTTTGTCTTGGTGCCTTGTTCTTGTTTTTTTTTGGGTGTAACTCTCTATATATAACAATATATATATAATATATACCCATGTCTGCTGACGAAGTGAAATCGACATTCACCGGCGGTTCCACCTGAGGTCAAGGGCCGCTGAGGTTCACAGGATGTTGGGACACCAAACGGAGGACGTCTGAAGCCAAACTTGTGAGGAGGTCGTCCGAAAACAACACATCCAACTTGAACGAGGTTCTGAGGAGGGGAGGTACTGAGGTGCGTGGCATTGATTTTTTTAAACCTCTGTTGCACCCTAGCTGCTGAAGTTGCTTCACTTGTGCAACTTCCTAGTTGCTTCTCCAGGTGTGCAACAGTTGGCCATGTTGTGTAGAACTATACCCGGAACACTTCGTGTCTCACTCGACTGGGTCGAGTCTGCTTCACTTGCTTCACTTGGTTCTGAGCTCCAAAAGCTGGTGTCCCCAAAAACGACATGCTGGTGTCTGTGAGTCTGTGGGAATAGGGCCCCCCCCTGGCCCAAGGGGTGTTAATTATAGTATGCTTAACTATGTTTAAATCAGTTTTAACATCTTACCCCGCGGTCTTTAGGGATGTCTCAATGGTGTCTCACTATTCCAATACCCCCTCACACTGCCACACCCTTGGACGTCTCGCACCACATCATCAACACATGCCGTCGGCGGCATGAACTGCTTGGCCATCTCGGAGCTCTCAGCCGCTCGCAAGGCCACGCTGTAGGAGATCACCTGAGCAGCATCTGAATACAAACAAACGTGAAACAAACATGAAACAAATATACAGTAGCTGCTTCTTGAAATTGTTTGTTTTATTATGTTTTTGATTGACTTGTTGTTTCATAGGATGTGCCGATGCGCCTTTGGAGGTAGCTAGACGTTCAATCGTACTTGTATGATGCTTTTGTGGTGCACTTTTGATGAGAGAATTCTTGAGCGCACTGAAGTCCTCCAACCTTGGACTTTGACTTCGTTTGGGGGGGGTGGAGCATCAATTTCTGCAGGAAAAGTCTTCCATCCACAGTTGCAAGAGAAAACATCATCTAGTCTCCTCATGTCTCCGCCACCCCACCCGAAGCAGTCTTCGCTGAAATGGTAGGCCTTCAGGCGAAAAGGCCATGCAAAACTCCATCGAAACCCTCTGAGCTCCACGGCGTCCATGGGAATCTTCAGCGCTCGCATCTCCTCGCGGCCGCGAACGCGGCCTTCACCCGGAGACCGACGGCGGAGGTGTGTGGAGCCGAGCGTGGGTAAGGGCCTCACACAGTGGCTTCAACACACGATTTCACCCGAAAAGAACACAAAAGAATGAGGATGCATCGTCGAAGCTGCAGGAGCATCACTTGGCGATCAAATTCAGGAACCAGGATGCGGACCAGCCACACTGTCTTATAATGATGACTCAATCTTTTCTCAGGACATCCTCACAGTTTCATCTAAGCTCTGCAGAACACACCAATGTCCCATGGTGGCTTCCTCCAGATATCCCCACGTTGACCCGGTGGTGGATTGCCAACGATAAATTCTTGATTGACCGGACAAAAGTGCATTGACCTCTCAACGCCCTCTCCGGCCGGCCACTGACCTACACGGTTGGGAGACTCCTCTTCCCAATGAAATCGAGGGGGGTGACATCCCCCCAAATCGGATGACATGGACCAAACCGGACGAAACCATCCGGTCAAATGGCTGCCACGGCGGTGTTGCGTTTCCTTGATTTGTCACGGATGGTTTCGATGGCGGATGTTTGTGGAGGACCATGAGAGGTGACTGAATGGAGCCTGATGACTTGTGACCTGATGTTTTTGGAGGAACCCTTGGGTCCAAATCCCGACCGACCCGCCGCACACGGACGCATCATACGGACGCTCCAGACAGCCATGCGCCCTTTTCAGGCGTCACCCTCTGGGGACCCTTGTGGCGCCGGCAGATGCCGGCAGCAAAGTGATGGTGAGATTTCTGCCCAGGAAAGAACCCCGACATGGGAAAGTCTCCGGAGAGAATCACATCAAAATGAAGAGAGACAAATCTGCTCATCTTGGCTTATCAAACGAATCAGAAGGAAGTCTACGGTGATAGAGAATGAAAGAGACACAAAGAAGATGAGATAGAAACAAAGTGGGGAGAGAAGGGGGAGAAGGACATAAGAAACAGCCATTCCGGGGCCATTCCCATGATCGGGTTCCCTGGAGGCTTGAACTTCGGGTGAGTTTGGTAAGACCATCCTAACGCGGCCATTTGGATGATTGTGGGCAACCGCAAGCCTTTGCAAGTTGAGCCCTATAGCCAGACCCGGCCTAACCCACCAACCCTAAGTAGATTAGGCCAAGTGGATAAGTTTTGTGATGAGACAAACCTGACCGACAAGAATCTCCCCACCCCAAAAAATCGAGGATGCAACAAATCAGTTGTCGCCCATGCAAATGACCATGCAAAGCCAACAATCGCGCTTTCATGTCGATTTAATGTCGCATGACCTGCTGATCAGCCTGGTGATGAAGCAGCTGAAGGGTCAGTGGGAATAACTTCCGCTGGGCATCAGGAAAAGAACATAGAATCACCAGTGGAAGAGGGCAAGCTGAAACATGCTGAAACTCCGCGCGATAGGATGATCTTCTCTCTGAATGTGAGACCAATCCTACTGGCAAGGTGGTTTCCCCCTGAGCAACCGCCCAAACCCAATCAGTTCGAACCAAAAACTGAAAGGCACAGCTTCAGATCCAACTTTCAGAGTCATCGATCTTCAAACCGGGTGCCACCATAGCTGAAGATTGCCAGCTCACCTCTTTTGCTCTGAGCACGGGCCTGTGTAAACAGCACAGCAGGCACTGAAAGTGCTGTCTGGTGAGGATTGGGAGCGTTTCCGCATGAAGTGTAAGAAACTTGGACATATGTGGACCTCTCTGCACAGATTACCAATGGCTTGGATATTTGACTGGACTTTGCCCACCCTGGTTGAATGTCATGGTTCATGAGGCTGCAGGCCTCCAATACCATAGTGATGAAAGAATTCCCAGCGTGGTAGGTTGGGACGGCCACCAGCGACAGAAGAACAACTCGTCAGCACCTGAATCTTCATTCTCCCAGCGTACAATGTCGGATAATCCATGACAACAAAAATCATCATTTTGCAGTTTTGGAATGCGTTGGATCTTCTTAGATGTCTTCCACCCAACCAAAATTATCGTACCAGTTGAACTAGCCAAAGTTCTGAGGAGAAACCTATATATATATACACCGATACCCAGAACCCCGGGTGGCCACATCTTCTCCGACTGGAATCGATGCACCCCGACGTCCCCTGCGTTCGATCCGCCATCACGGCCTTTCGATGGCCCGTTCGATCACGGCACGTCGCTGCCTGAGCGAAGCTTTTCCAGGCGCTAGGTCCACGGTTCAAAAGCTATATTAGGACTTGCAGTACACTTGGATTTGCTTCAGAAAAGTTGAAACATACGTATTCACCAGAAGGGGATTGAACCATAGTGAGTATAACACATCACCTTAAGCAAAACCTGGTACAGGGGTTCACGGCAGGTGCCTGAGAGGTTGCATGTGCCTTACACCGCCTCCTTTTCCAGAGATGCAAGTCCTCTGTTTAGGGGGTCTTAGGTGTAGAGTATCTGCTGTGATCCAACACATCGCCCATGTCCAAGCACATGACTGCAGCTAGCCACTGGAAAACGGGTGACAAAAGCTGCGAGATGGGTGGGATCTTTTGATACAGGATGGCATCCAAACTCCAGGGTACAACAAAGAAACATCAATCAATCCTGTGTTTTCCTTATAAGAGATCGTTCTTGTAGTTCCAGTTCCGCCTCAAAATAAAGGCCAGGCACAGCCAAACAGCCTTTTTCCTCATTTGCTCATACTACTTTCAAATGTCCTCCCCCATTTGGGTACAGCACCCCCAAAAATGGGATGCACCCTTCTGATTCTGACCTCCGTTTTGCCACACGTGGTGATACGGGACCTCGGTACCCAGTACCCACCTCGGCTGTCTCGGGGATCCGGACTCTTCCGGCCTAGGCCCAAGGACTTCGCCAGTTGCCGGGCCTCGGACGAACTCGACGTCGCTCGCGGAACGGCGCCGGTGTATTTTAGCTGGTGTTTTGTGGATCCCCCAGGCCAAGGGGGGTGAAATGGTCGATCTGGTCCACTGCGGCCGAAGAAGAAGAGTGGACTAGCGTCAGTCAAGGACTGCAAGAAGATGTCAGTCTGAAGAACATGGTTGCATCGGTCTGAAGGGTTTTGAAGGGTCGGTCTGAAGCTTACTGTTCAAAGGGTCTGAAGGCTTTTTGCCGGTTATTTGATGTTGTTTGACTAGCAAAGGTAGGGAAAGAGGCCGTGTGTCGATCAGCCAAAGATTTGGACCACACATCGATCGGTGGTTCCGGTGGGCTATGACGAGTAACATCCCCTTTAAGGTGGAATCTCTCTAAACTATGACAAGTACTCTGGGTGCTGGTGTCGACTCGGTCGACCCATTTTCTCGAACGAGGTGGCGGGCTCCTTGGGCATAGTCTGACAAAATTCTCAACCTCACCTGCCAAAGGCTTCCTTCTACGCAACTTCTAAATGGTTTAATCCTAAGCATTTATACTTTCATATATCCTTTCCAACTGAATTAAATCACTGCAGTCGATCGCACATCAGTGGTGCGAGCGTGCCCAAAAACTTCATAGAAGTCGAGATGAGACAAGTCTGATTACGTACAAAGGGGAATAATCCCACAGCTTGAAGACAGCAAACAAGTCCAAGATTGTGTCAATGAACAATGGTGAAATGTGAGGGATTGCTTTCCGATGTCGCATTGATGCTGCTTTTGGGGTGTTCACTGTCCTGTCCTGTCCGTCGAAACGCGTTGACCGCCGCGTTAAAACCTGCGGTGGAAGACCACACCGAGCTCCAAGTGACTGCCTCGACCAGCTTCTTTGGCTCCGGAGGGCGATTTAAGCCACTCTCCAACCTCGATGCGGACGTAGGTCCGGAGGTCGGGTCTAAAACCAGCACGGGTTGCACTTGATTACTCTTAGCACATTGTTGGACTGTAATGCCAAGAAGACACTTGATGAATATGAGTTCGGAAGACCTTTGGACCAATAGGCCAAGATGCACAATTGAATGGATTCTCAAATTCTCATGTATATAATTCACTTACTTTGTGAATGTTGGTCTCTCAAAGTATTGGTTTTGTTTCTTGATCTCGAGAAACAAAGTGGACATGCAATCTTCGATTCGTAGAGCGAAACGTGAACACTCGGGCGAAGTAGAACAGGTTTCAAAAGAACAACATAAGTGACATTTAGTTAATTACATCATATATACATTAATAATCGTTAATATATACAATCTATACATGGAACTGTAATATGTAATTAGAGAACACATGCTAAGAATGGTGGATTCCTGCCAATGCTGTCTTGTGGTACAGATGTTTCCGATCCAAACCTATAAATGGCAAAGAAATACAAACCCTTTGGCCCCCTGACTTGGGCAGAGCGAAGCTTCGGGCAAAAGAGCCCGCATACCAGTCCTGGCTTTGGCTCCGCAAAAGGCACTGGCGGGTGCTTGCACAGTGGGAAACTGGAGTGGCTAAAGCCTACCGGAAAATCTGATCGTAGATGATAATGATCATATCAGATCTAGCATCAAATCGAGTGATTCTGCCACCCCACCCAATTCAGCGGCACGGTCGCCGCTTTCGTCGCCCCTCCTCCGTCTTTTGGTCCCTTCGATTCCTGGGGTCCCGAAGGCCGGTCATGGCGGCCGCTTCGTTCGGGCCAACACGGACGAGGCGAAAAGGGTGGACACGATGTTGCAGGAGTCCCCGGATTGTTCAAAACTTTTAGCTGGGTTTGTGATTATGAGTCCTCCATGCCAAATGCAAAAGGTATACAAAAGTGAAAACTATGAAGGATTTGAAGACTGTTTGGATACCTTTGCATACATCTGCCACTTCTCTTACTTGGATCTTTGCATACATCCTTTATTTGCGATGTTTTGAAACAACAGCTGCTATTTTTTCTGCATCGAATCATGTCGTACTCCCCGTGGCCCGCTGGGTGGCCCGAGCTGCAGATATCTCGGCTCTGCGTGAGAGAAGTCCTACACAGCTCTGGAGCGAGCCGCGAGAGCAGGTCTTTCTTGGAAGCACGAATCAAAGCCCAACCAGCAAAGATTCGGGGGGTGAGAAGGGGTCCATGCATGTAGGCATATATTATGCTTATCTTCCATATTGTTCCATATGTTACATGGTAGTGTCTGGGTCTGGGACAAGGAAATAAAATCCCACATCCGTTGGAGAGTACAGTAACTAAAGCGCATATATTGGCATATATACTCTTCTGATGATCATCTACCTTTCCAGCTACTGGGGGCCTCCAATCAGTCAATTCACTCCAAACATGAATGTGCAGGTCAACATCTGTCAACGTCTCAACCACCTCACCGAAGCCACTACCAAATCCGGAAGCCCATCCTGCGTGGGAGCCGCTAAGAACTCGCTGAGCCTGGCAGAGAAGTCGGAACTTCCTCAAGCTTTTGTATTGTTTGAGTTTTGATGTGCTAGGATGCCTTTGAATCGCAGCTTGTTGAGGCGATGTGGTAGCGGGGGGACAATATCGCGTCACATGGAAGATTAACTTGAAAAATTGCTTAAAAGCAAAGATTCAACATTTTGACCTGCTGGCTTGGTTGCATGGGCACATGGAGCCTGGCAATTGAACTTGACGCTGTTTGCTATGATTATGGTTTTGAATGGGATGCCACGTGATGCGTGCAAGTGCTGATTGTTTTGCAAATTGCAGCTAATGCTGCGAGTCCATGGGAAAAGCTGCCAGCTTGTGCTTTGGAGTTTAACGGACGGGTAGAAATTTGGACACCCACTTGCTATTTGGCAAGACAGCCGGCTCAGGCTAAATGTGCCTCTAAATATAAACATTCAATAACATTCACATTTATACTGAGTGGCTGTGGCCTGTCGAAACATGGCAGGTGCACTGTTTGCCCTTGCTCGCCTCAGATGCAGAGGGGGGCCGAGGCGACCCGTGGCACTCTGCCGGACGGTTTCGGGTCGATCCTTCCTTTGATTTCGCAGGCGCTGCGTAAAAGGGATTTCCTCTGCTTAGCTGGTAAGTAAGGCGTGGGGACTAGTCCAGGACCCTCCCGCCGTTCTGAGATGCACACCAAGGCAGGGCATGAACTGGACTGCAACAACCTGAGCCCCGCAGGATGGCAACGTCCCAAGTCAAACAAGTCAAAGCCTCCTCTTTAAAGCTGCAGAAGCACAGCCGAAGTGGAACCTGGAAAAATACAAGTATGTCGGCCTGGATTACTCTACCTACAGATCTATTATCTTTCTCTTGAAACCCCTCGTTCAAGTCTGCGGGTCATGGCGCTCATGGCGCGGTCCTCGCGCCATGAATCTGTGGGTCCTCTTCGTCCGGCTCGTTTGACCACGATCGTCTATGTATTTCAACGTGGGTTGTCATGGCTAGGCCCGGCCACTAATTAGGTGATAAATTGTTCTATAAATAGAATGAATGTCGCTTTGGACACTTTTCAATGTTCAATCCCTCGCTTGTCAAGCAAATTCAGCAGCGAATCTCTATGAATCTCCTTTCCCTCATCGCCTGCATCCTGCATTCCAACTTGCACATCCACAGAATTGCTGCTATGTGTCTGCTATGTTGGGGGATGTACCCCAGGCAGCAGTGCAACCACGAGTGTTGGAAAGCTCCGGGAAAGTCGGGAAGTGTCCTCCCGATGTCAAAAAGACTCTTCACTTCACGCCTGTGTGAGTCAATTCATGTGCTGATGAGTTGTTGACACGTGCTTGCATGAATCATCGACCTTTTCCAAGGATGAGCTGGTCATCGATTGGGTCATCGTCATGGATCACCTCCATGGACCTTCAAAGCTTCTCACCAAAACAGGTGTGTTCTTTCATCTATGGAAGGTATCATTCTCACACCACACACACACACATCGCAACGTGAATAACATGTTCTACTTCACCAGTGTTGGTGCTCAACCTCGTTGTTGGCGATAGAGAGTCCCCAACTTCTGGAATAACATCCACTTTGAGCCCTGATGGGCGCTGCTGAATCAGTGCAAACCCAAGTGTAGCAAAACTCGATTGACTGTTCCCTTCACAGGAGCCGCTGTGGAAACAGACAAAAGCCCCATGGTAAGCCACCACGTTCCTGGAACATGAACCCATTAACCACATCCAGGCTGCCTAAGTCTAAAATGGGGGAACCAAACATGTTCTGGCCATTTGCACGTCTAACGTCTAAAACGAAACGAAACCAACAACCCAGCGGCCCATCGGACTCCGGACGACCTCCGGACCGACCTGACCGACCTGAAAGAACGAACGGTCACTGGGACATCGGGACGATCGTTTTCATCCCCTCGGGACGGGTTCCAACGACCAAAGCCGGTTAGGGTGGGTACCGGGGTGGGTCTACCCACCTTCATTGGAGCCCTATAGGGTTCAATCTTCACAGCCCCCGATCTCCCTGCGCCACGCCGCCACCCCCATCGGTGACGGCTCCGCGTTCCGAAGCGACCGGGGTGCGGTGCGACTGGGCGCCCCCGGCGATCGTCGACGATCCTTCTTCACCAGCTCAGTGATGTGGTCTTCCATCTGCCTGCTGTTGATGCAGGTGGAAGAGCCGCAGGTGTTGATGGAGGTGTAGGCCCATAGGCTAATGGGCTATCAGGTGATAAGAAGCTGGAGGCCCACAAATCAAGGGCAAAAGCAAAGTTGCTTCATACAACAAAATCAACAAACCCTAAGGACTACCCTAATGTATATAGTATACTTGTTGGTCATAAGGTATGCCTCTAATCCAACCTTGTCGCCGTCCAAACAGGATTCCTTTGAGGGCAATTGGATGGGTTTGGGCGGAAGTGGATATTCTGATATCCTGGGAGATGGCCTTACATTGAATGCCATATTTCAATTGATCACAAAAACCTATTTTAGGGGGGTTAGATAGTGCTAGTTGAGGATGTCATACAATAGACAAAACAACATGTATAAGACAAAAACACATCCGACTGTGCAGGTATTCACGGGACAGTAACCGTTCGGGACAAAGAACCAGTTTTGCACTTATGCTCAGCTTCACGGAAGTCAGGAGAGGGTCTCGACTGGAATGAGACAACACCCTGCTTCAGTCAAAACATGTTAAAACTCAGGCGAGAACCTGTCCCAGTGTCAGGATTATCAGGAAAGTTCTCAGCAGAAAATATGGTGCTGTATATAATAGATCTATAAATATAAATTATGTGCTCCTCTCATTCATGGTATCCCCGTCAAGTCCTCATGAACATGATGCATCGCCCGTTCACGGAAGCCTCGCATCGTCCGTTCATCGCGTCCGAACGCCGTCGGTCCTGCGGTGTCCCCGAGCGCCTCCCGGAGGGCATGGTCTGGTTCTCCGAGAGTCTCCTGTTCAACGTCGACGAGTCCAAACCGAAACGAAGAGAAGGACGAGAGAAACGAGTCAGACACGTGTGGGGTAGAAACAAAAGCGGGTGAGCAGCGAGTCAGACTTAGCTCCCACATGTTTGAGCGGTTTTTCACAAGGGATATATGTTTAAAACGGCGCCAAACATGCGCTGGGATCGAACAAAACAGTTCCTCAAATTGATCCTTGAGTACTCCCAAGTCTTATTTGAGGCGACCACGTAACTGAAAAACAAAGATACACACACACATTACACCAAACGAATACCGGACTACTATGCTCCCAGGAACAAAGGAACCTCAAGGTGATTTTTGGGCCAAAACCTTTTGGAGCCAGCTGCCATGACAAGCCCAACAAACTCAATCGGTTTCTAAACTGTATTGCCGAAGAATCACGATCAAATACAGGGTTGCCCGGAACACGCATGCAAGAAACAAAAACACGCACGAATAAGGAGTCACTATATGCCTGGGTGACCTATCTTCACGATCTTCCTCCCACTGTCCTCAGCTTGGTGTCGCCGGCATCGCCTTCGCCCATCTCCACCTGGAGTTTCAGGGTCCTCTTGTTCTGCTAACCACAAATAGATCTACAGTCTACAGTGAAGTAAGATGAAGTAAGTGGTTGTGATGATCTGAGAGGTGAAACAAACATCTAACATCATCTAACATCACCCAAACGCTCCAAGGTCAGGTAAATATGACCTAAATTCCCGTACCGTACGTTCACAACGCAAACCAGGCAATGTAGGTGATATGTGCACATGGAGAGCTTGGGTCAGGCTTCCACTGCAAAAGTTTCAGGCACACATGTATAATCGCCTGTCACCTGGACATCCATGCAAGGAACAAACCACACACCTTGCATCCTGTCCAGGCCTTCCTGTGACATTCGTCACAACGCTCTGTGTGTCTTCCAATATCTTCCAATCCAATTCTTCGTCTGCCTGCATCTGTGACCCCTTCTTTTACACATCATGCCCGGCCATTGGCACGTGCCAGAAGCCCTAGCCTATATCTAACATTCTATCTCCCCAAAAATGTCAAAGATACCAATATGTTCCATCTCTGACCAGATCTGTTCTCCACCCGCCCGCCCGCACCGGCACCACACCCACCCGCCCCAGCGACCTCTGAGGCTTCAATTAGGGCCGTAGTGTCGGATTGGATCTGCGTCCGTCCGTCGCTGGGACCAGTGGTCCCCAGCAGGGAAGACGAGGTCACAGTGACTGTGTGAAGAGGTTTAGAGCAGAAACATCAAGCATGAGGTGCTTTGATGTTTGATGTGTTTGTTTTCAAGCACTCGAAATGATCAAATGAGGACCTGCTTTCTTTGGAATGTGACATAAACTGATGAACTGATCCGCCAACCGGGTGGACCCGACAAGCCACGTTTGAGATGCAGGAAGCTTCCATGTTGGCCTGGTCTATGTCTGGGTGTCAAACAATTGGCGGTTAAAACAAGACTTCAACATGAACCACAAACTTCGGTTCTGGGGAGACCATCATCCATCACACAAATAACAAAAAATACACTTACAATCAACATCTCCTTGAAGTATGGCAGTCTCTATATCTTGGGAGCAACTCTCCACCGAGGCCCTTTGCACTCTCACTGGTCTCACCAGACTTTAGGGTGACACATGGCATCAAAACACCTTTGATATGAAAGCGGAAACGGTGAACATCTTGTTAAACAACTTGATCAACCAATGTATATAAGATCTTGATTTTAAAATCCCTCCCAAATATGAAGAGGTTCTACAAGCCAAACGGGGGAGGAGTTGCTAATCAAGATGCCCGATTCCCCATGAATCCAACACCTTGGGACCACTAAGTATCGGAGCAAGTGAGTCTGTTGGGTGATTAAAGGCGGCTGGATTCCACTAGGCTCCACTTCTTCTCAAAACCGCCTGAGTCCTTCCGATTTGGATCCCGGAAACGAAGTGGGCGAGCCCAACCGCTCGACCGGACCGGAGCCGAAGGACCGGACCGTTCTGCAGTGGGTCGACGTGTGCACCTGTAGATAGGGATCCAGCGGGAAGGACCACTCAGTGCTGCGCTCGTAGATCCTCAGCAGCTGTGAAGGACAGGATGCACGACCGCTCGTTGCGAAGCTGGCCCAGCCCAGAAGCCAATTCTCAGCGAGGGATGCACGGCACCACCCAGGATCAAAGGTTTGGGTTTCAGGAGCAAGCTGCAAAAACACCTGGTTGTCCTAGCCCTCTTTGAGGCCAACTTCTAAGAAGGTCTCACCCTCCTTCACCTGTGGGTGGCTCATCCTTCGGAGCTCCTTCTCCGACCGTCACGTTCCGCCCGATGCAGACCAACCTCCGCCAAGGCGCAAGCCCTCAGGCAAGCCCTGCTCCAAGGAGCCAAGCGGCTCACCGGTCGCATGGTCCTGGGTGTATTGCGAGGGGCGGCTTCGGCGCAGCGGCTTCGGCGGAGGGGTCTGACACAGGTTTACGCCGAGAAACATGGGGGATGCTCAAAGCCTCCTATAGGAATCCATTAATGAGTGTATATCTGAAGATTGCAACTTGAAATATATAGTCACAAAACGGGGGTTGTATTCTGTGAGGTTGTATGTTCCACTTCCAAGATGAGCGTTGAACAGTTGGAGCACTTGGGAGTAGGGCTTCACCCCAGGTTCCCTACAATGTTGGTATTTACCGCCATGTCTGTCTGCAGAGTCTGCAGTATGTCAATTTCTACACCCCAATAGTGGCAAATGAATCACTCCTGACATCACTGCCCCCCTGCACCTTCCTGGTTGCCTGTGGAGCAGAATGTGTATTGAAAGAACAAAGGTCGGGCCAGAAGCTCATGGAAGAATCTGGTCCAAAATCTCTGTGGACCCCTTCCCACCCTGTAGTTCGCGTGGCTCAGATTCTGCGGATTGCTGATGGGACCAAAGAATTGATCCGGGATCCAGTGGTTCGGAGCGCAGGTCGGTGACTGTCGGTGACTGTCATTCAACAATGCAGGCGACTGGGCAACCTGGAGGTGTTCGCCTTGAAGCGGATCCCAATTTGCTAACTTGGCTCGCTTTGCAATCGCCTTGAGAAGGATAAAGGTGCTAGTTGTGTGGCACTGCGAAACGCACCCTCTGTTCAACAAAAGAACAACAACAACTATAACAAATGGGACTTTTCTTGAGTCATGAGATGTCATGAGGACTACACAATGATTCAGAAATGATTCTGTGTCTGCCCTTCCAGACTGGATCGCTTTTTTTCGTCTCGTCGGCTCGGCGGCCCTCTGGGAACTCCAGACCCAAATCCGAAGGCAATTGTCGGCACCTCGGCATGATGGACAAGCGCTTGGGTGGCCGTGCTTTTGGGTGGTGTGGCCGTGCTTTTCAGGATGAATGCGACTCCTCCCAAGGTAAAGGCGGAGAAGAGCTGGGTCTCAGGTGAGTTGTATGAGAATATGTGTCCAGCACCAGGGCTAGTGGGAGCCTAACAGGCTCACCTTTCACATCCATCACTCTACAGAGGGTCTTGCCTTTTGGGCACGAGATAGCTTCATGGACCTAACCAGCCTGGGGAGATGCTACCAAATGATCTGAAGTAAGCGCGGCAATTCACTGAACCTGGTGTCTTACGTGTTCCTACTACAAATGCTCCACAAACCACGTAGTTTTCGGTGTTCCTACTGTTTCTTGTGTGCCCTTCCATGTTGAGATGCAAACCACACCACCCAAACTAACTATCTTCACAACACAAGAGACATCAATGAGAGGTCTCAAGGTCAATTCCCTGACAGCTCGTTCTGTTCAATCAACCTGCACAGTCAACATAATCTGTTCTTGACAACTTTTGAGGCTTATAGTTAGGGGATCCCATGGGTATCCCATAGGTAAAATAGTGAAACAATAGGGTCCAGGGTCGTGTCTAACTCACAAACTGTTCAGAATCATTTCTCAAACTTCCTGTTGAAACAAATCTTGGACCCCGTGGTCAATTCCTGGAGGCCCGGGAAGCACCAAGGCCCACACCCAACGTCATCAACACGGAGGGTTGTCGCTGACCTTCGATCGACAGCACTGAGGGCTGCCGAGACGGTCAACATCCATGTCACGGAAAAGTCGAACTCAATTGCCATGCTCTTTCTTAAGGAATCTGCAACTCCATTTTGGGTTTCTTGATCACCGTGATTTCGATCAGCGCCCAGCACTCACTGCTATCGCACTGCTATCGCACTGATGCTAGGCTGGCGGACAAAAGAAAATGGATTCCACGCTCAAGCTGTGTGCCTTCTCGACCTTCCGGGCGTCACACTGAAACCACTGTGAGAGGGGCCGTTCATGCGTTTGATCACAAAAAAACAAAAGCGAATCGGTCTCTTCGATGTAAAAAAAAGCATTGTTGCACAGTGCACAAATATGTGTTGTTTTGTTTATTTAAGTAACATGTATTTTAATTGTATTGTATCTCAAAGTAAACAGATGTAAAAAAGTCACAAGGTTCTTTGAGCAAGAGCCAGGCACTTGAATCCTGGTGACACACTTTCTATGTTAAAGTTTAAACCACACAAATACGAGTAGCTCTAACTTCTGAACCAATCCCGACTGTTTCTCTCAACCAATACAGCACCCCATGCAGATCCACAGCAACAAGCAAAAACAGCAATGACTTTGCTGCACCACCCACACTCCCCACCCATACTGTCGGCTGATCTTGCATGCTCTTGCTATTGTCGCATGACACCCCCACACAACAAGAAGCAACCAACAATAGTAATCTTTGTTAAAAGCATCTTGCAAACACTTTAGCAGTTTGCAGTTGGCCTACATCTCCGTCCCTCCATCATTCTGAATGCCTCCATCATTCTGTTGCACGGTTTGGCGCGTGCGTGTTGCCCGCGCGTGCGTGTTGCCCGCGCGTGCGTGTTGCCCTTGTTCTGTTTGAGTCTCGGAGAGCGCCCGGGCGCCTTCCAGTTGCTCTCCAATGTGAACACATACTCTGGAGAGTTCACGGGCCGAGGCCTCGGACGAGTTCGGACCGTTTCTTCCAAGCTGAGTCTTTGGAAGCAGGGCTGGCGGGAGAGTCAGGGGTCTGTTGAATTGCATTTTTGGTCATGGATTCTTATGGGATGTTATGCGCATGTTGTTGATGATAACGGTTGAAGACTCGATGTCATTGATCTTTCAATCACGCCAGGCCACAGTGAGTCGAAAATACGGCCGCTGATCACCTCTGCTGCCTCTCCCGACCTTGACTGTGGCAACATTGCTCGACCGCAGGACGGAGTCATTGGTGAAAGCAGTGGCATTCCAGGAAGTTGGGGGCACAAGTGATACAGAATCAGATCATTAATAGAGTAGAAACATGAAACGTATTGAAGACATCAAAGGTGGATTTAGTGTTCTTCGTGACTCACTTTGCGTTGCCAACGAGAATTGATCAAAGCAATGGTTCTATTTTTAATCTACCCCAGGTTGTTGCAAATCACCTGAATCAAATAGGAGCAGGCTCCAAGATGAGAATCATTGAGAATCCGTCAATAGACAAAACATTGTTTGTCTATTGAAACATGCATAGAATCTGGTTTGGAAGCCCTAGCAGATTTAGAATAAACATATCCTGTCTAAAAGAATATTGTTTCAAACTCTCAAGAAAACAGCCATCTAGGTTTCCAAGAATGCAAGTTTAGTCTGCCCGGCACTCCAACCATTCCACAAAAGCCGCTTGACCAACAAGTCCACTTCATCAAAAAGGTTGATCGAGATACTTTTGCTGCCACAGACCCAAAGTAGATGAAAAAGTGCACTCCGCTTCGGACTTCATGTTGAACAAAAAAAGGAACAAACAAAATTGAAAGGCCACAGGAACACAACACACACATAAACAAAAAAACAAACGATCAACGCGGCTGGTCCTTGTTTTTGCGAAGCAAAATGGACAGGAGTTCCCAACTTCATAATAAGGTAATGATGGATGTTGTTGTTTCTTAATGATGGGCTGCTGTTTAGTTCATTGAATACAGAGTCGTTCATAATTATTGATAATTATAGGATTTTGTTGTGTCATGCTGTTTCTCAATCTCCATTCCCCTATATACAGCAGTCTTGACCTTCTTCGCTCGAAGCTGAAGGGCTCCCCGACTCCTTCCGCCTCAAGATCTCTTCGCGCTGCCGCCGCGCACTCTCCACCACCACAGTGATGTCAATGCAAGCGATGGCTGGCGGCACGAATGTTTACAGAAAGGAAGAAACACAACAAGTTGATCTTTTGAGAGTAGTTCGTAGAAACCACTACAGGTGCTGATTCATCTAATTATTTACCCATCTTCACACATATTATATCCCTCTATGTAGTAGCGCAGTTTCTGAACATTCTACCTCATTGTATCCTCTTTCACCAAGAGTACAATGCAACCTTGTCTTCAATGAAGGCGCTTCTTGTCCTTTCTGGATTGAAATCCCCTCCCTGTACCAAAACCTGAAACAACAGACCTCCATCGATCAGAGACCCGAAAGGAAGAGTGCATCACATTCAAGCTTAATGAGCTTAATGCACCCCACAGTGCCTCTTGGAGCCTCTTTGAGGAGCAATTGATTCGGTCCGAGTCCTTCATTTCTTGAATCATACCACACGATGAACTGCCCAAATACTGCCAACGCCAGCTGCTCCATTCAACCAGGCTCGGCTCCCTTCATGTCCACCAACACTTCTCACCGATTTGGACAGCGCTTCATCCGCGGCTCATCCGGCGACCTCCTCGATCAGTGCCCACGAAGAGCTTGCACTCGTCGGGCCAACTTAGGCCTAAGGAGACACTGCCGCGCTGTGGAGCACTCCAGCCGGGGGCCTTTGTGGGATGGATGGTGACGGAACACCTGCAAAGTCAAATTGAACAAGCAAGTGCACTTGAGGGAAGAATCAAGGAAAGGCTTCCAGGGATGTGATCCACACAGGGTTGGGGTTTGGGGCGCAGGATCTGCCAATTAAGTGTACCATGTCCATGTTATTTGCTAAAGAAATTGTCATCTGCCATCCATTTGTACGTATCCGTATCGCATGTCTCCACTGGGCAACAAAGGAATCAGGCAGTCCCCCCAAAGCAAACAAAAAACACAAACACAAAACATAACCAAAGGATAGAAACGTAGGACACAGCAAAGGTGGGCCCTCTCACTATCATCCACCAAAGGAGAGTGAAAGGCTGTTTGCATAATATAATTCACAAAAGCAAACATACTTTGGCAGGGGCAGTGCATTGGCAAAAGTAGTGCAGATTTTGTGACGATGGAGGGGGCGTGGGGGGAAGGAACCAAACATCAAAAGCCACCAGACTCAGAAGGCACGACAAAATGGATCATTGAAAACCAAACACCCCATTGCCCCATCAACGAAGGGCACCCAACAATTGACAAAGGAACCGTTTGGCAACCGGGTAGCTTGTTGAACAATGAACCACGAGGTCAGCGGACCAAGAGAAGGACTGGGGACCGAATGAATAGCAAACCAAAGGACCAAGTGACCAGGGGACCAAAGGACCAGGAGACCAAAGGACTAGGGGACCTACTCAGGATTTTTATGTTGGATAATGTGCTTGATTCTTGTTGATCCTGTCTTTATGTTTGTTTTATTATTTATTGTTTGATCTGGATGCCGTGTCAGAGTAGGGTTGGATGAAAGTATGAGCAACAACGGCAAAACAACCAGACTAGTGGTCAGACTAGCAGCACAAGACATGGTACCTCTCATGGTGTTTGGAAGCTTAGGCTCAAAGAAGTTCATCCTCTACAACCTGAACATGTGAACAAGAATATAGCAACTAGAAAAAACCCAGCAACAGCTGCGAAACACTTTGAGCTGTTTCAACTCAGAGCAAAATCAAACCGGTCAGTCAGAACTCTTTCGTCACCGGTCAACGGAGCGAAGGCGTGGAGTCAAAACCACGGTGCAGATGTGAAGAGGTGGCACGCACTGAACCCACTTTCAATTTAAGTGACTATGGTGAATGGGACCGGTTCTTTTCTTGGGCCATGCCCAGGTGGTATTAACAAACACACTCAAAGACAGTGGTATTTTTCCAAGGTCTTGGGAACGCTTATGAGAATCCAGTGAGAATCTCAAAGCAAGACTGTTTCAGCTGGCGACAAACAAGCTGTCCCATGAAACAGTAGCAACAGTATCAATACAAAAAAAAACACATAAATCAAATAATCAGATCCCTGGTTCCGGTCACATTCCAACTATCGCAATGAATGCCTTCAATTTGATATACTTTGATTATGTCTTGTGTAGAAGAAGCTGTTCCTGTCTATTTTGAGTCCACGTCTTTGTCGGTTTGATCGTTTTTCTGTAGAGCAAACAGGTAGACCGTAGACCACAAAACACATAGACCGCAGCAAAACCGAAAGCAACACGCACGCGCCAAGAAACACATCGAAGAGATGCTCACCTGCGCCTCCTGGAAGACAAAGTAAGGGGCGGGCATAGCTAACTCTCATGGAAACCAAAAACACTTGTTGAACTCACAAAACAAAACAATCAAACAACGATACACGATACGGTCAGATTCCGGAATGGATGCTTCAACAAACTCTAGCTTTATATACATTGAACAGCTGTAAGAAAAAAATACCTCTGGATTGAAAGAGCAGTGGCTTTGGTGAAAGGACATCAAAAACTTCAAAGAGCCGATCAGGATGTGCATGAGGGTGCAACTCTTATGAATCGATCTATAGTAAAGACTTAATCGAATCCAATACCGTTGCAAGGATGTCATTTGTCTGGCCTACTATTGCGATCAACGGCCTTTCAGCGCGGGAAGTCAACGCAAAAGCCCTCCGGTTTGGAAGACGTGTGATCACTTCAAATCTGTGGTGTGCTGCAACTCTGTGGTAACCCATGTTTAATGTATCGGTTAAGTCTTGGGAATTGAGTCGAACTCAAGCTGGAAAATAAGGTTTGTTCATAGAAGTCACAGCTGTTGTTGTTTCAGATCTGTAAAAATATGGTCATGTTTGCAGGGAGAAGATCATCACCGCTTTGCTTGTACAACAGCCAGATCTGATTTGTTGATGCTCTTGAATATGAAATATATGGATATATATATATGGATATTATACACCTTATCTTGGGCACTTGTCGTGTACCAAAGAATGTGCAGATTCTCTATCTCACCAGCCTCAGTTCAAACGGATACACTCCGACTCTGTCACCTGGAAGTGGAAGGCTCTTTTCCGCCGTCTTCCACCGAACAAAAACACATGGAAAAGATATATGGAAGAGATATATGGAACACTTCCCGTATCGAACCCATCATCGAACCCATCCTGTTCCCGAACACCACACAGAGCGTATCGCGTCGAGTCCTCCGATCCCGGGAGGTCGAAGGAGATCCTGGGAGGTCGGTGCCGGTACGGCACAGAAGGACTGAGGTGTGATGGATGGTCTTCAGATGTCTTTAAGTTCAAGATCTTGAATAACGTTCCAAAGATCCTCAATGATGATGTTGGATCTTTGCGAGTGCTCTTCAGAGTTGAGTGTCTCAGATCTGTTGCATGTGCTGGAATTGTTTGTGACGTTCTGAGTAACTCCATCAGCTATAGGTTCCTTGGGGACGGGCAAACGTGTCCACCGTACCCCCAACAGGTCAGTGAAAACAAAGCAAAATATGCCATGTCTTGCCTGATAGACACTCCTTCAAAAACCAGAACGACTTGGAACAACTATATATTTCAGCTCTTATTGCTACAGCCTTGAAGCTGTCACTAAAACACACATATACACCTATAGTCTGGGTGCCTCCGGATTTTGCCTGCTACTTCAGTGCTCCCTGTTTCAATGGTCCAATTGGAACTCATAGTCATCCTGATCCTCCACCCGAGATCAACTCCCCGCGCCCATCGAAACAAGGGCGCTTGTTGAAGAAGTCGTAGGCCCGGAGAGGGGGAACCGACCAGAAGATGGCGGAGCCTCTCCACGGTATGGCGACCAAACACCCAAATCGAACCTGGCATGTGTGTGTGTGCGTCCCTTTCAAGCTGAATGTCCTGCATGTTTGTCATATATATATATA